ATGGCTAAACCAGCAAGAAAAGCAGACACTGAGTCCTCCTATACACTGCCATATGAAATCCAGATTATCTGCTTTGAACTGGATTATAGGGCAGTGTGGACTCATAATCCAGTTTGCAGCAGAGAATGTTCATTGTCTGCAGTGATATAATGTGTTATATGGCAGTGTAGATCCAGACTAATTCCTTTCTGCCGCAATGGCTTGAAATCTGAGAAATACGAATGGAGGCAGGCGTGGCTCTCTAGCTCTGCCTCTTCTGGTGAGGCGGCAGCCTCATTCCCCCTTTGATTGCATCCTCCCCCCCCCACCCCCAAAAATGCCACGCTGGCTGATCCGCAGCAGCAGGCCAAAGAGGAATTGGATGGAGAGGAGTGTAAGCAGGAATGGTTCATGTCTTTCTGGTGATAGGTTTTGGCAGCTCAGGGATTGCTCTCCTTTTGGAGTTCATGCAGGGAGGTAGAAATAAACCCATTCAATTCAGAAGGAGGAGCACATTTTATAGTCCTACATTTTCCCCTCTTTTTCCCTTTGCAAGGATCTGCAATAGGCATGGGCAAACTTGGGCCCTCCAGGTGTTTTGGATTTCAACTCCCACAATTCCTAACAGCCAACCTGTTCCATCTGTTCCTGGTAATAGCAGCTCATTACAGTTAAAGCAGCAAATGCGGTGTCACTGGAATACACACACACACACACACGGAGCCATTGAAGTACACAACATTGGAGGCATTAATGATAGGGCAGGGATGTTTGTTAGAGAATTTGCACACCGAAAACTACAAATGAGAGACTTCCTCCTGGGCACACAGAAGAATGGGCGACTTGGACAGACTGTGCTCTATCAGAAATCTATCTATCTATCTATCTATCTATCTATCTATCTATCTATCTATCTACATCTACGTACCTATCCATCAATCCGTCTACCATGTCTTTCTGTCTGTCTCTCTCTCTATCATCCACCCACCCACCCATCCATCCATCACACTGTCTGTCTCTATCTATCCATCTATCTATCTTCCATCCATCACACTGTCTGTCTCTGTCTGTCTGTCTGTCTATCTATCTATCTATCCGTCTGTCCATCCATCCATCCACACACCCACACATCCACCATGTCTATATAGTGATTTGTCAATCCATCGATCCATCTATCCATCCATCACCATGTTTGTCTCTGTCTGTCCATCTGTCCGTCTGTCTATCCATCCACCCATCACCCTATCTATCTATCTATCTATCTATCTATCTATCTATCTATGATTTATCAATCTATCCATCTATCTATCCATCACCATGTCTTTCTCTATCTATCATCTGTCCATCCATCCATCTCTATCTATCTATCTATCTATCTATCTATCTATCTATCTATCTATCTATGATTTATCCATCTATCCATCTATCTATCCATCACCATGTCTTTTTCTATCTATCATCTGTCCATCCATCCATCCATCCATCCATCAATCACTCTATCTATCTATCTATCTATCTATCTATCTATCTATCTATCTATCTATCTACCGGCTGTTAGGAATTGTGGAGGGCCCAAGTTTGCCCATGCACCTGGAGGGCCCAAGTTTGCCCATGCCTGATCTACAGCAATCTATTTTTGTCTGTTTGTACCACAAAGGCTCCTCTGTGGCTTGATGGGTCTGGACCAAACTTGGCACACAGACCCTTCATGATCCAACTTAAAATAATCGAGGCTTGAAAAATGACTTTTGGGAGGCCCAGAGCAAAGGGAAAGAAAAGGAACAAGGCAGGTGAAGTGACCCTCTGTGATGTCGCTGAGAAAGAAAGGGAGTGAAGTGGATCGGCTACTAAGAGGTGATGTGTGCCTCAGGTGGGGGGAGGGGAGCAAAAGAAAGAAAGAAAGAAAGAAAGAAAAAAAGAAAGGGAGATGGATGGACAGATATTAGAGAAAAACATGGTGATGGATAGATAGATTGATTGATAGATATGGTGGATAGGTGGATGGATGGATAGACAGATGGAGAGAGAGAGAGAGAGAGAGAGAGAGAGATGGACAGATGATAGATGAAGACATGGTGATGGATGGATAGATGGATGGATGGATAGATAGAGTGATAGATGGATGGATGGATGGACAGATAATAGATAAAGACATGGGAATGGATAGATAGAGACATAGAGAGATAGAGAGATAGAGTGCATGGATGATAGATAGATAGATAGACAGATGATAGATAAAGACATAGTGATGGACAGATGGATAGGTAGGTAGGTAGAGTGGATGGATGGATGATAAAGACATGGTGATAGATAGATAGATAGATAGATAGATAGATAGATAGATAGATAGATAGATAGATAGACAGATGAAAGAGAAAGACATGGTGATGGATAGATGATTGATAGATATGGCAGGTGGATGGATGGATAAATGGATGGATGGATGGATGGATGGATGGATGGATGGATGGATAAATAAATAGATGGATGGATGGATGGATAAATGGATGGATGGATGGATAGATAGATAGATGATAGAATAGATAGATAGATAGATAGATAGATAGATGGTGAGATGATGAGATTGGATATATGGTGATGGAGAGATAGATGATAGAGATAGATAGCTAGATAGATAGATAGATAGATAGATAGATAGATAGATAGATATAGATAGAGTGGATGGATGGATGGATGGATGGATGGATGGATGGATGGTAGATAAACAGATAGATAGACAGATGATAGATAAAGACATAGTGATGGATAGATGGGTAGGTAGATAGATACATAGATAGAGTGGATGAATGGATGGATGATAGAGATAGATAGATAGATAGATAGATAGATAGATAGATAGATAGACAGACAGACAGACATGCTAGATGGATTGATGGATAGGTAGATAGGTAGAGAGCTAGAGAGATAGATAGATAGATAGATAGATTTATTTCTGTCTTGTATAAGTATCTTTCGGTGTGGAAATTCTCTAATAAACCTCCCTGCCTTATCATTAATGCCTCCAATGTTGTGTACCTCAATGGTTCTGTGTGTGTGTAGTGTGTGTGTGTGTGTGTGTGTGTGTATTCCAGTGACACAGCATTGGCTGCTTTCAGTGTAATGAGCTGCTATTACCAGGAACAGATGAAACAAGCCATTTCTCTCACAGCAGGGTTCAAAAATGGGCAGAAAATACAAGCAGTGCCATCCCCATCACATACGGCAATAACCATTAGCAAAGGCTGGTTGGAGGCAAAACGAGGGGAACAAATCATTCTGTGTGCATGAGAGGCAGAGAGAGAGAGGGAGAAAGAAAGAACGAACAAATCCACAGTGCAATCTTGTTACCTGCCCCAGTGGTGGAACCAGCTCTTCAGAGGTAAACACAGAGCAATTTATTTATAGTATAGTACAGTATGACCCCCATATTCCTATGGTTTAATTCATCCAGAATATGTCCTCTCCAGGCATTTTTTAGGTCCTCCAATACAATTCTATGCCATTCTTTTCTGGAAGTCATTCATTTCAATGGGATTTGCTATTACCTGTGGTTTTGCATAGTCTTGAAGCATTAGGTAATTTATCCCTAATCTGATACTCTGCCACTCACACCCAAAAATGCAGCTAGGAGGCTTGAAATCTTAAGAGATCCAATCTGAGCCAAAGCACACATACCCGAGCTGGATGGCCTTGGCACACCTGGCGGCTGAGTCCGGTCCCATTCAGGTGGAAGCCACAGAAACATTCACGGAATCATAGGATCCAAGGGTTGGAAGACACCCCAAAGGCCATCTAGTCCAACCCCCTTCTCCGCAGCAGAAATACACAACCAAAGCACTCCCAACGGATGGCCATCCAGCCTGTTTAAAAACCTCCCGAGCTGAGGGGCCATAGCTGAGGGGCCACTACTGAGAAGGCCCTGTCTCTCGTCCCTGCCAGCCGTGCATTGAGCCATTAGCACCCTTAGAGGTGACACTTTTGTGTGGATGTGGGAGAGAGAAGGCTGTGAAAATGCATTTATAAGTGTGCAAGAAAGTGTTTGTGTGTGTCAGAGAGAGATCAAATATATGAAACACAAAGACTGAATGCATGACATATGTATGAGAATGTATGTGGGTGTGAGATGTTATGTGCATAAATATACACGAGAGAGTGTGGGTGTGCAAATGGATGCAAGGCAGACAAAAAGATGTAAGAGAATGTGTGTCAAAATAGACAAAACAGACGGACTGCACAAGCCTGCAACTAATTATTTCTAGTGGGTTGTTGTAGGTTTTTTCGGCCATGTTTTTGATGTATTTTCTCCTGACGTTTCGCCTGCATCTATGGCAAGTATCCTCAGAGGTAGTGAGGTCTGTTGGAAGTAGGAAAATGGGTTTATATATCTGTGGAATGACCAGGGTGGGACAAAGGACTCTTGTCTGCTGGAGCTAGGTGTGAATGTTTCAACTGACCACCTTGATTAGCATTTGATGGCCTGGCAGTGCCTGGGGGGATAATCTTTTTTGAGAGGTGATTTGATGTGCCTGATTGTTTACTCTCTGTTGTTTTGCTGTTGTAATGCTCTGAGGATGCTTGCCATAGATGCAGGCGAAATGTCAGGAGAAAATGCTTCTAGAACATGGCCATATAGTCCGGAAAACCTACAACAACCCAGTGATTCCGGCCATGAAAACCTTCCACAATACATTAATTATTTTCAGTATTGTAGATAATTTTAATGTATTTTGGGTGCTGAATGTGAAAAATCCCAATAAAAACTTTTTAAAATCTCTTACATTATTATTATTGCAACATAGAAGTATCATTTTACAATATATGTATATGTATTTTGTAGTTATATGATGAGGAGAAGTTGCTGGGAATATGGCTATTCTTTTCCCAGAGGGAGACATGCAAAGAGAGTGAAGACAAAAGGCAGGAAATTGAGAATGACTGAAAAGCAGCGGGTGCTAGGACCCAGCGGCGTCCAAAACCAAGGCGGAGGCTCCTGCAGCCTGCCTTTGCCTTTGCCTCTTAGCCTCTGTTTTTGCTCCAATTTAAAGGCGCCGTTTGGAAAAAAAAATCCTCCTCCTCTTCTTTTTCCTCCTCCTCCTAACTTTCTAGAAGTTTCCCTGGAGGGCTTATATAGCCCCCTCTTCTGCAGCCGCTTTGCAGACAGGGCAAGGCGTTGATCCGGAGTGAAACCGCTTTTGCAGCTTGCTTTTTCTGGTCTGGTTTGGAATTCGTTGCATTCCTCTTTTTGTTTTGCTCCAGGAATCTCCTTAAAGGTGAGGCCTTTCAAGTTTAAGGGTATTGAGGGTGGCTTTGGAAGCAATCTAGGGGATAAAAGAAAGAATATAACAGCAGTGTTGTGTGGACGCTGCGGTATAGATGCGCGCTAAATCCGGATTAGAGAACCAAGTGGGCTTCCTCGGGAGTAAGTCTACCAGATTTAAAATGTGGACCTTGGGAAAGATATATATATAACTCTAACTCTATATAATATGCTACTACTTTGGAGTCCAATGGAGCCTCCTTCCTTCTCTGCATTGAAGCAGAGGCTGGATGGCCATCTGCCAGGAGTGTTTTGATGGTGTCTCTCCTGCTCATGTGGCCTTATAATTATATTATGCTACTGCTTTGGAGACCAATGGAAGCTTCTTCCTTCTCTGTTTTAAAGCAGAGGTTGGAGGGCCATCTGCCAGGAATGCTTTAATGGTGTCTTCCTAATCTGGTTGGACTATATGGCCTTTGGGAATCCCTTATAACTATATATTATGCTACTGTTTGGAGACCAATGGAAGCTTCTTTCTTCTCTGTTTTGAAGCAGAGGTTGGATGGCCATCTGCCAGGAATGCTTTAATGGTGTCTTCCTAATCTGGTTGGACTATATGGCCTTTGGGGATCCCTTATAACTATATATTATGCTACTGCTTTGGAGACCAATGGAACCTCTTTCCTCCTCTGTTTTGAAGCAGAGGCTGGATGGCCATCTGCCAGGAATGCTTTAATGGTGTCTTCCTAATCTGGTTGGACTATATGGCCTTTGGGGATCCCTTATAACTATATATTATGCTACTGCTTTGGAGACCAATGGAACCTCTTTCCTCCTCTGTTTTGAAGCAGAGGCTGGATGGCCATCTGCCAGGAGTGCTTTGATGGTGTCTTCCTGCTCATGGCGTTGGACTAAATGGCCTTTGGTGGTCCCTTCCAAATCAAGCATCCTGACCCTAAGTGTGGGCGATTCATAGAGATATTAAATGGTATAGACCCCAAAGCTCATCCATCTCTCAAGAAGGCACCCTTAAATCCCTCCCAACAGATGGCCATCAGAGGAGATTCCACCAGACTCCAGAGAAGTGTAGTCAAATGTGGAAGGCTGGATGGCCGTCTGCAGGGAGTGCTTTGATGGTGTCTTCGGAGACTCTACCAGACTCCAAAGAAGTATAGTCAGATGTGGAAGGCTGGATGGCCATCTGCTGGGAGTGCTTTAATGGTGTATTCCTGCTCATGGGATTGGACTAGATGGCCTTTGGGAGACCCTTAAAACTCAGGCATCCTCGACCCATGTATTCAATGGGCAATTCATAGAGATATGAAATGGAATGCATGCCAAACTCCATCCATCTCTGAAGAAGACACCATCTAATCCCTCCCGACAGATGGCCATCAGAGAAGGACACTCCACCAGACACCAAAGAAGTATATTCGACTGTGGAACAGCTTTGATACACTATGTGACAAAATTTGAAACTGTTCCTGGTTTGGAAGTATTATTTCCTTACTTTGAAAGGAGTTGCTATATTCCGAAACTTTGTTTTTGTGGCATGAACTTGGTTGAGACTCATTGAAAAACTAGAGCAAAATGATATCCTATGAAAACAAAAGTTTTTGCAGTTTGATCAACTTTTCCCCCATGTTTTAAAGGACAGAACCAATTAGGAAATGGTATTGACATACTCTAGGAATATACATAGTGCAAGATAGCACAATTTTCCTAGTGTTTAGGTGGGAGAGCAGAAGAGGGACCGCAAGGCTCTCCTGGAGATCAGGCCAAAGAAGGGAGGCGAAAAGTAAGTTTTCCTGGAGCTGGATGCGGCCTCCCATCTCCTCTTTCCTTGGCCTCCTTCCCAGGCTATTCTTAGCCAGCATCAATTTCCCCAACTAGATTTAAGCCGGGTCCTTTTGGGGCACGGCTTGCTCCAGAAAGCATGGGACGATCGCTGGAGGAAGAGGTAGGATTGCTGTCTCTCTCTTGGCATTTTGGAAAAAAGCAGGAATTGGGGAATTTGCTTTATTTCTCTCGATATAAGGACTCAAAGGGAGCAAAAAATGCAAATATATATTCGAAAATCCTTGGAGAGGGCAGCCTATAAAGCAGGTATGGGCAAACTTGGGCCCTCCAGGTGTTTTGGACTTCAACTCCCACAATTCCTAACAGCCAGTAGGCTGTTAGGAATTGTGGGAGTTGAAGTCCAAAATACCTGGAGGGCCCAAGTTTGCCCATACCTGCTTTAGATATTCCTGGAGTCCACTTTAATTGGAAAGGGGGGTCCTCAAAGGCCATCTAGTCTGACCCCATTGTGAACTCCAAAAAAAAGGCTGATGAGGAATTCTAGTCCAAAAAAAAGTAACTTTTCCTGAAGTTTGGCTGCATCTCAGCCCTTGAAAAGCATGCTTCTGGGCTGCTGTTATGTCTTGGTGGCGATCCAAAGAGCTTCAGGCTTATTTGGAAGCAAATCCCAAACAAAATATGTTCTCCAGAAGAAAGAGGGGGATCTCAAAGGCCATTTAGTCTGACCCCATTATGAACTCCACCCGTAAGAAGGCTGATGAGGAATTCTAGTCCAAAAAAGTAACTTTTCCTGAAGTTTGGCTGCATTTCAGCCCTTGAAAAGCATGCTTTTGGGCTGCTGTTATGTCTTGGTAGTGATCCAAAGAGCTTCAGGCTTATTTGGAAGCAAATCCCAAACAAAATACGTTCTCCAGAAATGTGAGTTTTATATATGATACAGATTATATTCAAAGACATAACCGTATCACTATATATAAAGGGATATTGGGAGAAAGACATTCGCTTTCATAGCATTTCATCACACCAGAGAGAGAAAAAATCCACTTAAAATCCGATTTCTGCTTCCTGCAGAATTCTGGGGTTTGTAGTTTAGTGAGCCTGTTTATTATTATTATTATTATACAGACACAAAAGCACAGTTTGTCACAGCAAACGAGATCTATATGCTGGATTTCGTATCACAAAATCACAAGTCGAACACTTTCCAAGAGTCTAGGACTGTGTGATGTATTATTATTATTATTATTATTATTATTATTATTATTATTTATGCAAAGAGTCTGGCACAACCCAGTAAAGGTGGTCCTAGTGGCGATCGGCACACTGGGTGCAGTGCCTAAAGACCCTGGCCTGCACTTAAACACAATCGGCGCTGACAAGATTACCATCTGTCCACTGCAAAAGGCCACCTTACTGGGATCTGCACGCAGTATTTGTATCTCATAGTATCTCAATACTATGGAATAATAGGAGCTAGTGTGATGGGACCCATAGATTCCCAAGTGCATCTACACTGCAGAATTAATGCAGTTTGATACCACTTTAGCTACCATGTTTCAATACTATGGAATAATAGGAGCTAATGTGATGGGGCCCATAGACTCCCAAGTGCATCTCCACTGCAGAATTAATGCAGTTTGATACCACTTTATCCATCATGTCTCAATACGATGGAATAATAGATGAGGCCCATAGACTCCCAAGTGTATCTATAATGTATAATTAATGCAGTTTGATAGCACTTTAACTACCATGTCTCAATACTTTGGAATAGTAGATGAGGCCCATAGACTCCCAAATGCATCTACACTGCAGAACTAATGCAGTTTAATACCACTTTAACTACCATGTCTCAATACTATGGAATAATGGGAGCTGTAGTCCTTAGCTTTCTCTACCAAAGAGTTCTGCCTCCTCACCAAACCACGAATCTCAAGATTGCATAGCACGAGCCATGGTGATTAAACTGCATCAATTCTACAGTGTAGATGGACCCTTAATCTAATGCATCAGATGCAAAATGGAGTAGAATGAGTCTTGTTTTGCAAACTTCTAGCTCACAATATAGGTTTGCAAACTTGGTCCCTCCAGGTGTTTTGGACTCCAACTCCCACAATTCCTAACAGCCGGGAGTTGGAGTTTTGGACTCTAACTCCCACAATTCCTAACAGCCGGTAGGCTGTTAGGAATTGTGGGAGTTGGAGTCCAAAACACCTGGAGGGACCAAGTTTTCCCACGCCTAGTGTAGATGAACCCTTAATCTAATGCATCGGATGCAGAATTGCTCCACTCCATGGAGTAGAATGAGTTTTGTTTTGCAAACTTCTTTCCTAGCTCACAAAGTATAAATTTTGGGAGGGTTTTATGTTTGTTAAGCCGAGCTTAAAATCGCTTTCCCGTGTCTGCAGCGTCAGGGATCAACTCCTGAAAAGCTTGCTTCCATCACCAGAAAGGCCAGTTCCAACAGGAGAAATTCCTCTCTGTCTGCTGCAAATGGCTGTTCTATGACTTAACGCCCCATGCTATTTCTGGCCTTCCTTTTCCGCCACGGGAGTCTACAACTCCCGAAAAGAAGAAGGTTGGAAAAAGCAAGACCCTTTGCTGAAATGCAGGTTTATACCATCATCGCTGCTTCCTCTGTTACTCAAAAATACTTTAATTCACCTCACTACCTCTGAGGATGCTTGCCGTAGATGCAGGCGAAACGTCAGGAGAGAATGCCTCTAGACCATGGCTATATAGTCCGAAAAAACCTACAACAACCCTCTGTTTTAAACGTTTGCATGTTGTGTTGTGAGCTGCTTTGAGTCTCAAATAAGAGAGGAAAGTGGGATATTATGGAAATAATAATAATTTGTGAGTTGCTTTGAGTCTCACTTTGAAATGGAGGATATAAATAAATATAGAAATATTTTTGAGCTGCTTTCAGCCTTGATTAAGAGAGGAAAATAAGATATAACAACAACAACAACAACAATAATAATAATGGGTTGCATTGAGTCTCATTTAAATAATAATAATAATAGTGAGTTGCTTTGAGTCTCATTTAAATAATAATAATAATAATAAATAATAATAATAATAATGGGTTGCATTGAGTCTCATTTAAATAATAATAATAATAATAATAATAATAATAATAATAATAATAATGGGTTGCATTGAGTCTCATTTAAATAATAATAATAATGAGTTGCTTTGAGTCTCATTTAA